AGGAGCTCGATGGTAAGATCGACGGCACCCAAATTGGAGACGTCGTCCGGGCTGCTGGACTCAAGCCGACCAACGCCATGGTCGTCAAGGTAACTTCCCACAACTTTGTCGATCAATTTATATCTTTTTCACTTGGAACCTTCTCTCAGTCTTTTACCGTTGGAACATTCTATCATTCTTTGTGTAATTCAGGCTTCGGGACAGGAGTTCAAGCGCAAAGGCGAGAAGCGCATTACTTTCGAGGAATGGCTGCCGATCTTCGAACAACTGTCCAAAGAAAAGGTAAACCTCGATATTTCATGATATTCTCCACTTTTAAGACATTTTTGTCGAATTTCATGCTGCTCGCACTGTTGTATGCCGTCAGTCAGTCAGTCATTCAGTTGTCAATCTGGTTTCCTTCGCCACCATTTCCCTAACATCTCTTGATCCTCAGCAGTCCCTCAGTATGCTCTTCGAAAGCCTCGCCGTATGCACACTTATCTTCGGCCTCCTCAACGCTCGCTCATCGTCTGCATGGCAAATAAATCTCAAGCGCTCAAGATCTTGAGTTCTCTTCTTGAAAAACGCTCGACGATTTCCCTCTGATCGATCGTCTCTGCCAATGAGCTCCGTTGCGTAGGCGGACATCGGGGGAGCTTACACAAGTGTTGGCAGTCATGGTGCATTCCTAGCTGCTCCAGGCTGGATTCTAGGAAGGTGTTTGCTTCAAAAACTTTGAACAAAACCGTTGAAGAATTGTCTGAGTTCATTTCCTAAGCTTTAGAAAGGCTTCCTGAGCAATGAATTTCCAAAAGACAAACTAGTCAAGAATCAGTCCTCTTATACTCTCTCAGGAGTCTTGTAGTAACATACTGACCCGTGAGATTGGAAAAGTTTCAGTCTAAGGAAATTTTGGATTCCGGATCCGAATCGTGGGTCATTTAAGCATTTGGTAGTGACCCCACCTGGAACTATCACCTTTGCGCTCAAAATGACAGTAGCTGGTTGTATAAGTTAATACACCTTGATAAAGCAGGTAATAGTCATCCTATAGAACGCCTATGAAAAGGGCTTGGAAGTTGAGCCCGCTCGAAAGTTTCTTGAGAAGATGATGCATTCACGTTCTATCGGATCATGCAATGAATTCGTGCCCAACAGTAGCCCTGTTAGACAAGAAGGCCTCTTTACAAGAGCACGTTGGCAACCGGTCTAGAGCCGACAGCCCTGAAGTGCTATAGGGGTAGAGTGGAAGGGCAAATCTACAATGAGGATCTTCTCAACAACACCTCCTAACAGACTACGTTAGCACCCGGAGAAACCAGGCAATTTGGTAAAATCCAAATAAAACTAGTTAGTCATATTGTGATTGCTGTCTCCAGGTGCTCTACCCGTTGATGACAACTTTACAAGAAGAGAATCGGTGAATCATCCCAATCTGCTTCAGGATTTCTAGTTTGTTTCAGAACCATTCGGAACCCCTATGCTAGCTTGCGGGACCCCGATCAGTGATCCTTCTTTTCAACGGGGCTTTAGTTCCATCCAGAATGATCTTTCACAGGAAACATGGTTGGATTCTCCCACCTGAGCGCAAACCCACATTTCCTCAAAGAGCTACTCAGAATGGATCAAAGCCTCCCACACGTTCGTTTTCCTCAGAATGAGGGGTGGAATATCTCCATACAGAGATTGAGCTCAAAGATGACATTCACAAACAATAGTGGTATCCTAGAAAGTTTTCGAAGGCCCCAACTATTACTGTCAACCAAGGAGAGCCTCATGTTTTACAAACACATCTGATTTTTCATTCGTTTTCATCTAGGTCTGGAACTGGAGTTTGGGATGATGTTCTGTGATCATAGCTCCCTACCAAGTTAGGTTCTCTCTCAGCCTTTCGCGTTTGTTCAGGAGTTTATTGAAATGCAATCTTCGGCAATCCCACAAAGCCGTCGAAGAAATCGTGGCAGAGTGCTGTCGTGGATGGCTTTCGCATACAGCGCACGTTGTAATAGACCTCAACGAGTGGCGCAGTGACGCACAACGAATTGATCGAATCGGAAAATCGTTGGCAAGAAAGTAGAAGTTAGGCATGGAAAATTCCTGAGCTTCTGCCTTGGTTATGGCACCTCTCCAGCTTGTTAGGACTGAATTCGCCACTGTGGAGGTGCTGTGTACCTTGTCGAAATGCTGCACTGGATGGCTGTTTCGACCATGTCAGACAGCTGCGCCCACATCCCTGAGCTCATTATTAAAACCGATCCCCTGCTAGAATTCGTTGGTTGGCCTTAATGTTTTCTAAACAGGGCTATTCTGAAGTATAGCTATTTCGCTACCCCAGAAGAAGGCTGCTGCTAGAAACGGCTCCACTCATAGTTGAGCCTTAGTAAAATGAAAATTTCGAGTGTAAGGTGTATAGCTGCGAAGGCTCATCGTATCCGACGTAAACGTGCTTCTTTGTGATTGAGGAAGGTTTTAGTCGGAGACCAACTCCTGGATCGTAATCGGTGTGGATCGAGTAGGTTTCAAAGTCCTGCATCGACAAGTGGTATCAGACTGTCTATGAAGATGGGACCCTTCTTTAAAGAAAACTAATCTCCGGCAATCCACTGTATATTACACTCATTAAAAATCTCACTCTGGGAATCCGCTGTGAGCTGGGAGGAGGCTGATGGCTTGGGCGATTCCTATAAGGTCTGAGATCCTAAACCGTCAATTGATTCATGTAGGAAGGTCCGTCCCTTTTAAGTGGTCTATCTTAACGCGTAGCAACTGGGGATCTTGAGATCATTTCGAATCAGGGGATTGCCAACGAGTGTGGGCGTTCACCCTAAATGAATACTGGTATCCCACTGTTCCTTGTGCATTTGCTCAAATCTCTGTCTTCTGCATCAGTTCTTTACCTGAGGAGGTCCTTCGTAGTTGTCGATGAAGTTCTACCTTTCTATCAGCCTCCCTTTCGCCCTACCGCTCTCACATCACCCAGGAATGACAGTTGTTCTTTTCAGGAGCAGGGCACGTACGCTGATTTTGTTGAAGGCTTGAAGGTGTTCGATAAGGAGGAATGTGGAAAGATCCTTTGCGCAGAACTCAGACACATTCTTCTCGCTCTCGGAGAACGACTTTCTGCTGATGAGGTTCGATCTTGTTACCACTTGGGAAAACCTAATATACTCCATACTAAAATTTCTGGTTACAGGTCGATGAGCTGCTGAAGGGAGTCGAAGATGCTGAGGGTTTGGTCAAATACGAGGGTCAGTTTTACCATCTTTTTGTGCTTACCTAGAGAAATGACGAATCATCAGAAGTAACGTGTTGTTTTTTGTCGCAACAGTTGTCTGGAATGTGGTGTGGGGGTGCTCGATCGAGGTTGCTGGGTGTTACAACGCCCCGTTGAGCCTCGTTCCGAGTCTGGGGATCGGGTAGATAATGAGATTTCTGAGGGGTGGGCTGCAGAAAGCTGGACTAGTAAACTTCCCCAGATTCCATCTTCATAGGGGAGGACTTGGCGGTGAGGACTCATCCAATGGATACGCCACGCTTTTAACACTCTCGTAGGATTGCATATGTGTTCATATGAGGGTATGGGATATTCATTGGTATGTAGTACCTAACCGATTTGGAAACCCTCTTATATTCCGTTTTTGACCCCAAAGGTGTCCAAGTTTGGCTGCCCTGGGCTGGGTTCGAACCGGTGATCGTACTACTGGTAACATCTTTCTAATCATTGCGCCATTCATCTCACTGCTGATAACATATCGTTTCAGATTTCATCAAGAAAGTGCTGGCCGGTCCATTCCCCGATTCGGATTGAAATCGTCATTGTCACCTGTGTGTTCGATCTGATGTTCCTTGTATAAATTCGAAGCCGCTCTCGCTCCCTCTTGAGTTCCTAGTTCTTCGATCACATTTTCATCATCGCCACCATCAAAAGCAGCAGCAGCAGCATTACGGGGACCATGGCGATCAGTTAAAGGGGCGATGATGGTGGTCATCTCTTTGGCTACCATTTCGACCATCATCCCTTTAATGTCCGCCCGGTGCTCGGTACAGAGTCGTTTCAATCCGACGTGCGTGTGCATTTTTCGCCCCCCAAGATTTTGTCGGGCGTTGTTGTTCAGCTACAGTAAGAATTTAGTGATCAGTTCAACTAGTCAGTAAGATTCTATCGTATACTATTCCGTGATGGTGTACGGTAGTAATTTCCCGTAATTTCGCGTGAAAATGTCGTCATGACGTTCATTTCGTACGTTTTACACCGTACACCATCATGCCCACCAGCACCATCCCATGAGATCCCCCTGCCCCCGCACTTAATCGCGCTCACCCTGCTATCTCCTCACGCTGTCCTTCTACTTCGTTCCTATACTGCTCAACAACGCACATCGTGTGTCGTTACAGATTTATTTTCATGAATACGTCGTTTCAAGTGTTTTTCCGTAACAAAGTTTTGTTATATGCGTAATAAAAAGAGAAAAGATGTCTGGGTGATACCCGAGAAGAGGGTGCGAGAAAAACTTCGCTCAAGCGGCTCATCGTCTTTGTTTGTGGGAGTTGGGCAAGGAAGGGTTGTTTGGGGTGTCGTGAATCCCAAACACTGCTGATTCATCCGTATTTTATGTAGTGTCGACCATGACTAACTATTATAAAACTAGAAAGCAAACTCAATCCCCCGATTCGTCTGGAATCATGGGAGCCTTGTTGGACCTCTGTATTGTTTAGGGTTAAGCGGATTTGTGGCCATAAATTTGAACATGGGGGGCCAAGGATAGCCTTGTGTCCAGTACGACTATTCCCGCTTTGAAATCTTGAGTTTAGCCTTAGCCTGAGAGTTTAAAGGAGCTCAGAAGCGCAGGTAGGCCCGAGCACAACCTCTCAAGCAAAGTTCGAAGGTAAAACGGACTTCCGTGATTCTGCGAGCTGTCTTTGCCCTTTACACAGCAGTTTAGGTGCCGTGAGCCTTTAATACTTGGGTATGACGGACCCTCGTCACTCTTGGAGCTGCGCTTCCTGCCCTTTCAACGTCAAGTGAGAGGACATAAAGTCTTTTATACACAAACAGGGACGGAACGTTGTTACACAACCGAGAGTTCATTACAGTAGTGTAGCGAGCGCTGAGAAAGTAACACTGGGAATCATAAATGGTTACTTTGATCGTGAAGACCTATACTGGAGGAAATGGAACTACGCTGTCCCATCTGACTCCTTTCAGAAACCGTTATTCTGGTGTTGGGAGAAGAACAGTGCAATGGGGTTTGTGAACCGACTGAAAAAGCAGCTTAGCATGAAGGGATGCTTCGTTTTTCCAGATTTACGCCAGCTTTTTCTTGGGTTCGACTTCTGGGACAATCGGGAGACCTATTCGCTTCTAATCTCATTGCATTCATCCATATGGCTTGCCTGCGCCAACTGATCAGCTCCGGATTTACAGATGGCGTGGCTATGATGGATGGGATCTGATAAGAAGGCTATACAAGTGCTATGACTACGAACAGTAAAATTCATTTGAAGAACGAAATTTCCCTTCAAAAAAGTGAAGAGTGAGTACTGAATAGAAGGTACCTAGGGATGGGCGGTGTGATTCCCGAGCTGTTTTTGGCCTAGGTGGAACAACGGTTCGAGGTCACCCTTAGAATGAGAATTCCTAATCAACTGGGTATTCCTACCTGGCCAATCTTAAGAGGATACTATATTTAGCTATTCTGAAGGGAATTCTAGTTCGATGACAATTATCTAAATAGATCAGTAAAGGGGTGCTTCAATACCTCTATGAATTAAAATAACTTTTGCGTCCCCTACCATTCCTCCCACTATTGCACGAATCCTTTCTGAAGGAGCGCAAGGACAAGAACGGATTTTCCGGTAGACTCGAAAACTCGAAAATTCATAGATTTCACCTATTCGAGAAGTTTGAGTCAAAAGTTGTTTACTTATTTGTTTGTACTGTGCGCATAACCGTAAACTGCATAGTATCCAACCCATTGAGAGAGGGGCGTTTTGGCAGTATTTGGTAAACAAACAGAAGCAAAAACTTCAAAAGCAAAAGCTCACCGCTCCGTCGAACTGGAAGCCCTTCAGACGAATTCTGTATTCCGCTGGATTGGATTCCCCACACCGTGAAAACTATCAACACAAACAAAATCTCAGAAATTCAGAGCAAGATAGACAACTCAGGACCTTCGCCTTCAATCTGAAAATACTGCTCCAAAAGATGAGCCCCTGATTTACGGTATTGAAAACGGCTTGAAACATACCTGCCCTCACCTGAACTCATCTCTGTCTTTCCGGACACAGTCTAGAGTTTCTGGTAAGCGTAAGTCCTAATATTCCACAACGGTCCCTTCGCTTATGGACAGCTGTTTTAATAGGTTCCCTAGGAGGAATCGAGCTCGGTATCGCAGACAAACGGCGACAATTTTAGCCACTGAGCTTCACTCAAAAAAATGGGACATTAAAATGCATGGAATCAATGATGATATTTGACAAAATTCATTAAAAACAAGACCATTTAACAAAACATCAAACAATTTCAATAAGTTATACAAAATACGTTATTTTACTGAGGAGTTTGATGCTTGGCGAATATATTAGGTGGGAAAATAAGCTCCGTCCACAGGGAAATGACATTATAACTTAATTTTTATCGATTTTCGCCCCGAATTTGGTGAAAATTGGTAGTAATCGATTTGAAAACCCGCCTGTACCTACTCGGTAGGGTTCGGTACTGTTAGCAACAGACTATTAGTCAAAAAAAGTAAGATTTTCGGGTCCAAGGAGAACGAGTTGGAGCAGTATCGATTCCGTATAAAAGCAAAAAAGACCGAAAAAGTAGCGGCGCAGTGGAAGCAAGTCTAAAAAATACCAAAGTATACTGACATTGATTATGCACAGTTAGCCGATTGGTATCGATTGAATTCAATCAATAAATCTATGATTTCCCCTGTGGACAAACAATTATTTTCCCACCTAATATGGGAACTGAGAAACAAACGGAGCGATTGCATTATTGATGAGAGCAGTACTGGGCAAAAAGGGGAAAGGGTGACTGGGTCCAAGACGGTAGATCAAAAGCTCTCGACCCGAGTTTTGTGTTTAAATATAATTATAATTATAATATTTCCTGGATTGTGATCAAATACAATGAAGCACATATACGTATTATATACTAATTATTAGTAATACTTGTAAAAAATGATTTTGGTAAAACTATCTACAGGTGGTAGTAGTACAATATGGATAAATCAATCCGTATCTTTTGAACGCATACAATTTCAGCGCTTAAATGAATAAAAACTCGACATAGCAAGACACTTGAAAGCAGGAGATGAGGGTAGGGTTCCCTGGGGATGGATGAATGGGAGCCTTACTCCTGCATTGGGCTTTTTTTTTNTTTTTTTTCTAGGGAAATGTCCATAGCAAAGCAGAGGGGTTCAAGGGGGTATCGGAGACATATTAACGAATACTCGACCATATCAACAACGGGATTCGAACACGTAGTACAACAAACAGAGGATACAAATGCGCAATGTGAGGAACTCCGCCCACATGAGGATCAGTTGTCCTCAAAACGGACGCGTTTCTTTTCGCCCGTGGAGGGCGGTTTTCGTGGTGCACCTAGATCACGTGCGATTAGGGGATCGACGTCACCGATCAGTTTGTGCAGATCCGAGTCCGTTCGACGTACTAACGGCCGCATCAGGACCACCTGTAAGGGATACTGTAAGCAGATGAGCAATGTGGGGACAGATGAAGCTGGACGTACTCTTTGTTTGCCATCGCTGATGTAGAGGAATGCGATGGCGATGAGGATCAGCAGGGAGACAGCGGCCAGAATCGAGGCTGTGACCGTCACCCACACACTGCGCACCTCGTCCGTCTCCATTTGGGGATCAACAGCACACCGTCGAGCTGCCGTCGCCAGGCATCCAAGAACTCCTGGAATGATTCGGGCTGTTTAGAGGGAGGTGGTGACATACAGAAGGAAAGAACAAACCATCGCCAACGTCGCTGTCACCAGCCTTCTCAAGCCAGTCACCCAGCCATTCCTCACCACAGACGCACTGCCAGGCATTCGCTGAAATGTGTCACATTAAACTAGGCCAATGTGCGAGTTTTAATTCCCCATTTTGATGCGGGAAAGTCTCTAAAAATGAAGAGAAGGAAGTAAAAAGTGACCGAAGCTAAAAAGGGAAGTCTTCTGCAAATCCCCGATTTGAAATTCAATGCCTGACGGAAAGAGCAGCAGTAAATCCAGCCATTCCCAATTGCAGGCCTACCCCAAAGGTGCCATTATGCTTCAACGTTCGGTTTTATTAACTCAAACTACTAGTGCTCAAGAAAATTGTTCGTGAAAATGGCCGATTCTCTTTGTTCACCTCGCCTACGTCAGCGCCGCAAAGCTAGGCTATGAGGTGATTGTTCCTGGATGTTTCCTGGAATGCAATGTCTCTCAGTGTCGAGTGCTCCCTCAACGCTAGTTCCCCCGCTCCGCCCGCCCGCTCCTGTTCTGTTTCTCCCTCTCAACTAGCTTCCCGATTACTCTCCCAATCGTTTCTACAGCTGTCATTATCTCGGCACCGATTTAGAGGGAACGTGCCAGGGTACGTGAATACTCGACATTGAAAAAATTGGTGCCTATTTATCGGAGACTCGAGAAAATTCCACGTGTGTAGTACTAGTCTTGAAGGAGGACAGAAAAAATGAGCAGATAAAAAAATAAACAAACAAGTAAATAATAATGTGAAAACCTTCATCAAACCATGGGATAGGTTCTCTCAAGGAAATGAACGCGATTTGAAAAAGGCGCCAATCGATTTTCTAGATTGCGCCATGCATACGGTCTAATTTCGGAATCATAAAGGCATTTGAATGTGCACCGCATAACGACCATAGCAAGTTTACACGTTTCTTCGTATTGGATGGGGCTGGACCGAGGGACTGCTAGGACTTCCAGCGGCGCTTTTGCCATTCCGCTTTTTACTTCAAAACGAAGGAAGAACTTACAAGTAATATCGATTGCCTCCAAAGTGTCGAACGAGATGGAATCGAACGTGTGACGGTGAAGGAATGGCAGCTTGTTGTTATTGATGTAGAGTTTGTGCAGTGTCATTCCATCAAACGCTTTGACATCGATCTGAAACGAAAAGATCAATATTATTGATCGACTGACGTAGGGGCAAAGTACGGTACCTTCTCCAGAAGGTTGTGGTCAGCGGCGAGGACCAAAAGTGTTCGTGGCAGATCGTGTTCACCAATGGCACGAAGCTGATTCCCCGATACGAGCAGTGTTGTCAAACGTCGCAAAGGTCGCAGATAGGATTGACCGTCTGAAATAAGCAATATAACTCGATACTCGATATTCGATGAACTTATCACGTGTATCGAAAGTGTAGTTGAGAGAGAGAGAGTAGTACTAGCAGAGGGTAACGTTCTGCTAGCTTGAGCGGGACCTCTACCTATGGATGGCCGAATAAGGTGTCGAGAGCTGGTTAAAGGTTATGGGTTCTGTAACGCAAATGAAGTGTATAAGCTCTCGTACCCAATCCCAATTATGTAGGTGGACCCACCGGTGGGAAACCATTACCACAATGCATTCCTGCGTCAGTAGCCCTTACGACTTCAGAAATCGCACCTTATGACTTTTTTTTCTAGTTCTAGGGAAGCTGGAGAGCCATGAAATCAGTCACTGACCTTTGGTGAGTGTAGTGAGTTGATTATTCTGCATTGCCAATACATTGAGGTGCTGAATCGGTGAAAATGCCCGCTGCGAGATCTGAAATAAATGTCCTGAATTTGGCAATGGAACAACTGTTTTGGAGTTTGTCATAATTAAGTTTGATCTGATTTGAACGGTTTCCGGTAACTCCCTCGAGCTTCATTCCCGAAGCAAAGACTTGTTAAGGTTCTGACTGAGGAAGTGGTTGTTGTCTGGGGAAAAGTCAGACAAGTCAGGGGTTTGCTCAGCGACAAAAACCACTTTCCTTATTAGAAATCCCTGCAAATCTCATTCATAGTGGTGAGATCAATGGAACATATAATCATGTGCTTGCATGCAGTTTGAATTCCAACAGGCTAACAGGACGTTACGGTGGCTGTGATCGAGATAGTAACCCTACGGGATTCCAGGGAAAACCTTCGTGAACTTTAGAGCTAGATCAGAAGGTATGGGTAATGGAAGCTAATTGATCAACCCTCTCTAGCCCACTTTGGGGATCCGCCCACGCACTCAACTTCTATTTAAAATCTATTTAAGATCGTTTCAGAGTTAGAATGCCTCCGTGCCCCTTCCTCTGTTTGCCCAGGCGAGTGTTGGTGGTAACGCTCTACATGCCAGTACTCCATCACAGAAAACCTTGACAGGTCATCCTGACTCGGTCTTCTCTCCTCTTGCTTTTAGTAGATTCACCCGGTCATGGATTCCCCCTCCATCAAAAAAGTAAGACATTTTTGGAAAATTGGCTTTCTATGAAAAACGACTCTCTTGCTTACCTGGCTGATGTTATTGGCTGCAATGGTGAAACTTTCAAGTCGAGTGCTCCTAGCCAACCCAGACAAATCTCCATCAGCAATTTCTGAGATGGAGTTTCGATCCAGCGATAGGAGGATCAAAGATGGGAGGTCTCTGAAACGTTTCGCATTTGGTGATATTTTATGGTACGGTAGAATAGAATTACGGTCGGCAACTTACCGTAGACTGACTCTTTTCAATGAGTTGATGCTGTTATTGTTAAGGAAGAGCTTTTGAAGATTTTCCAAGCCACGTAATTCAACCTGAAACAGGCTGCGGATTTACTTGGCCAAATCGTAGAGAGCGCTTTGATCGGGACGGGCAGTCTTTTGGGTTGCGCCATGCCTAGCGCTTTTTCCAAGAATGTACAGACATCCTGCTCCAGACAACTACAGCGTAAGCTCAGCCAGGCTTGAATCAGTACTACTGGTACTGTTAATTTCTCAGGCAAACCTGACACTAACAGGATTACCTCAAATGAGTGAAGGGAGTCCCGGGAGTCCCAGAGACTTAATGACCCTTGTCTTCTTTTTACCTATGGATTGTATTCCTGTAACTCACGTTAGTAAAGTGATTAGTTCCTAAATCGAGAGTCCTGAGCTGTTTCAGATTGGCGAACGCTGACCAATCGATGCTGGTGATTTGATTGTTTTGCAAATTCAAAACTTCCAACGAGTCCAGTCCTTTGAACATGTTCCTGAAAAGAATTGATTTTGCTGTCAATCGAACCTAGGCAACATCCAGGACCACCATGTTCAGAGATTTTGCCTACTTTGTGATCACGCTGATCTGATTTCCACTCAGACTCAGCTTTTTCAACGACGTCAACTTGGCAAATGTGCCATCCTCGATGGTGGTGATGTCATTATCGTTGATGGACAATTCCCGAAGTTCTGGCGTCAAATCGAAAACGCCCGTGACCAACGAACCAATCCGATTACCTGAAAATATTCCTTCAACTGAATGAGGGGAAGAGGGTGAGCGGGGACACTTCTGGCTGCAGAACTCACCGGAAAGATCCAATTCACGAAGGCTGGACAGACCCTGAAGCATCGATCGATTCACACCTTTGAGGTGATTATATCTCAGGTATAGGCCGTGTAGTCGTGGACCGATTGTACCGAGGGCATTCTCACGTAGAAGAGCCAGATAACTTCGCTCAATTGACAGGTATTTTGGTTTCACCTGAAATTAATAAGGCATCTGGGAAATTGCTCCAATCATTCCTTCAGAGAATAGAAAAAACGACTTTCATGAGCACGGCCTAACGATTCAACAAGAAGCAATAATTCTGTAGAATTCCCAAACAAATATCCCAAAGTCAGTAAAAGCTTCTATACCATCCACAAGGCTTATGAGACGGCGTGTACTGTAGAATTACACAGGTCAAGTATCCATAAAAACGTCCGTGCAATGTGAATTAGCAGCCGAATTCATGGCGTATCCCGGAGAAGTAGACCATTCTCCATTATTCGACTCCCATTTTCTAGAGAGTGACAGAACTTTTTAGGCCATTTTCAACATGCTGATTAAGACAGGCGTTGGATTGTGACGATGCTTGCGGAGATACGGTATCACAGTCCCTGGATAAGCTCCCAAATGACGTTATCTCCTAGGTGAAAGCCTATCTCATGGAGAACTTCCAAGGGAAAAACTTTTTTCTCCTCTTTTTCGAATTCAGTACTTCTGCTTAGTGAGTAAAGCAGTTGAGTTTAGATCTTACCTGATCGAACATATCCGATGGAATTATCGTAATATGGCAATCCCATATGCGGACTTTTTCCGGAAAGGATTCGTTCACTGAATGCAACGCCTTCGAAACATGGGGTAACGTCTGGCCAAAGCATCTGAAAAACTTTGTTTAGAAGCATTCATCAAAAAAAAATCTTTTTCAAGAAAATTAGCTTTTCATCCCGACCCGTTGTGAGTAACAAAGTTCTAGGCATGGGCCAAAAGATGCCATCGCAGCGATGGCACTTTTTGGCGCATTCACCACCTCCAGTGAGCTGTTTTCGTATGCAGCGACCTGGTGACCGCGGTGCCACCTGACCCATATTTAACATTCTGTGGTCAAAAAGTTTCTATGGCTACCAATTCACTAACAGGGGCTTAGTTAATGGTCATCTGGAGGGCATAGAGAAACTTATGTAAGCATCAGTCGTTAAACGAATGCGGATTACCTTAAGGAGACCTAGACAGAGAAGTAGTTAACGGTACTACCACCAATGATACGGTCCGGGGATCGATTTTCAAGGCAGAAAGGCATTTGTGAAGGAGTCCATCAATAACATCTCGCTCAAAACAAACTTTTCTGGTCCCCCTCCAAACGAGTTTCCATTTGCTTCGTACTTCTTTCACTGAAAATTTCCCTCTGACAGTAATTGAAGAAGGACACTGAGTATCGAAGCCCCAGAAAGGTACAGAGTGTCACGGAATTTCTTGAAGGTTCTTTTGCCCAAGCTAAGTAAACATGCTGATATCGTCGGAGAAGAAATTGATGACTAATGAAAACGTGGTCGCGTGCAAGCCTTTGGTCAACGAACTCAACATGACGTAACCCTTCGATCCTCGACTACTCCCTTAAGGATGAGCCACGCGTTCAAAAACCATTCCAAATTTGGCCCGGGGGAACTCGACGCATGAGAGACGCCCACGCTTCACTAACTAATGATTTTTTATAGACATTGCAGTAACAACAAAAGAAACAAGCGAACTCGAATCGCTGTTCTCACACGACATTTTTTCCCGAACTTTTTTTTTCATCACTTGCCCCGCCCTAGACGAAAAAAATGAGACGGCCGCAGTGGATTTTGATCTAGAGGCCGAAATGGATGGGAAGCTTCTCTTCAGGTCACTGTGCCATGATACAGTTACAGTAACTCGCTCAGATCTTGTAATTTATCAAATGTAGTCGTCACCGTAACCGTAGAACCAAAATAGTCCGCAATTGCACGAAAGTCGGTCAACCAAAATTTTTGGGTGACCTCGGACGTGAAAACGCCTCCACATTCATTACACCCATCGTTATTTATCGATTGATTGTACTTCGTCGGTGGGCAGTGTTGGGTAACCCCGTGACAGAGAAGTTCCGGTGTAAGTATGTTTGGGAAGGGGAGGTTCATTCCTTGTTTGACACCGGACGCTAGAGCTCAGAGAAGGGGTAGCCAGCTCTGCGAGCCTATACTAATTCTTGGAAACGTTCTTCGGTCAGGAGGATGTGATTTAATAAATGAGCCTTAGACGGTGAGGAGCACCAGAGCGGGTGAGATGATTATCTCGTGGGAAAACCTGGGATTAGGGAAGAATTAAACAGTACTGGCCCGCAAAGCTGGCTATCCCTTCTTTTCTGCGCTCTATCGCCGAGGGCTGAAGAAGAACGGGCCCCCTCCCAACGACATTTTCACTGATGTTCCCAAGTTCAGGACCCCACCATCAAGCCGTTTTAAACGGGATAGGACGGCTTAAAAAAAGGGTTCGACAAGTATCGAGGGATTCGGATGGGGAAGACCTATTTTCTGAAGGGTTTTTTTCTTCCGTCTAACAGCAGTGCTGCATGCAACTCGTCCAAAGAACCTATTCTCTCAAACTGACTTCATTTTACAATTCTATGAGGTTAGCCACTATGTAGTCACTTGACTGGCTAGTGAATATTCCTCTAAGCCAGTATCCACTCCAGAATTTGAGCAACCTTAGCAAATTGAACTAGAACCCAATTTCCCAATATTAAAGGCGTAAAAAATGATGTTTTGAGAAGTTCCTTACCCAATTGTTATTCCGTCGATGGTGGCGTCAAATCCTTTGTGGAAACACTTACAAGCCTCCTGAAAAGCTTAAATTCAATGTCTAGAATGTCTTACAGTTGCTTTCTGAGAAGTTGTTTTTCCGATAATCGAAAGGGATCAATATATCGATTGACATTACCGTTTCATTAATATCGGTGGCAGCTTTGAAGGCTTTATCGAATGCATCACACTCGGTCTCGGCCCGCGCGTAAGCGACAATTAGCACGAAAATCAATAATCGCAACATCACGTCATCTGCTTTTCCTGTAATAACATGATAAATTTCTGTCAGCACTGGCAAATAAACAGGATGGGTCCTGAGACGATTACTTTGCAATGGTACAAGGAAAGAGAAAAGTCGAGAAAAAACAAAGGATGAGGAGATGACTGTAAGGAAATCATTTCTAGGGGTTTTACTGGTGAAGAAATCTTCGTGGATATCATAAAGGAGTGAAACTCTTTGAACCATCAACAACTAGGGGTGTCAGGTATGAAGTTTTATACTTTTGTTCGATTGATTTTTTATTTTTGAATTCAACCTTTCTGAAGGGGATTTTAATTTCCTGTTCGTTCCCTGGAAAGAAAGTCAAAAGTACAATCTTCCGAGGTGTCTTCCCACCCCATTCCTCAGTTTTGGTCAGACCATCCCCGGATGCCGAAAAAATTAATGAACCTCAGGAATTTCAAAAAAAAAAATACAACTTAAAACTGGCTATTTTGACCAACGGCTGGTCTCAGTAAGGCATTATCTGGCTTATTTTCGTAATTCAAAAGATCGGGATTATAAATGGATGTTGAGTGCATGGCGTATCGATAGGGCGATAGGGCTGATAAAGGCTGCACTTTGAATTTATGAATGTTTTATGATCAAATAATTGCACTTTTATTGTTGTACTTATAAACTTATCGATTGATCTTCAAATTCAAGTGACATGAATTTTCAGTTTCTGAGGATCGTATAGGTATTCCTACATTCGCCGTTCAGACGTTTTGTGTGACATTAGGTCAGGTTTCAAGAGTGACAGGGTGGTAGAAGGTGTCATCTATTAGCCAAGTACAGAAATTTTTCAGGAGAAAAACTGGGAGAAGTGAGTGATGGCTCTTTGCACTCTTGCTTAATGACTTACGAAAAATTCAGGTGGATGAAAACGGCCAAATGGGGGCCCGAATACAGCAGGGACATCTCCCAAATTACCCAAATGAAAACGATACAAGATAGAATTTCGAGGGAATCGGAATGAAGACAAGTCTATTCGTTGTCGTTCTCATGTTACGTGCCCAGAAAAAGCACCTACGTTTCCGAGCTAGCACGGAAGTCCGGCTGAATAGCGCTAACAGCAGGCCCTCACTTTTTTGAGTATCGCTTTAGCTGGTGACAGAAAATAGGAATGTATGAAAGGCTTTGACAAGGACAACATGGGAATCAGCCTCCGAAATTGGACCTCACCTCTATGAGAGAAGAATAAACTGGAAAATTAGCTCAATTAGATGCGCCGTGCAACTGCATTTCAATGCTTATCGTAGAAGCATTTGAATGATCAACTGCCTTATGCATTTGGTTGTTGAAGGCGATCTAATTTCTCTCTCTCTCTACCTGTCAGTTCCGATTCCAAGTGATCAATTGAAACAATGCCCCGGTGGTGTAGTGGTACAAGGCGCACTATCACACAAGCATAGTCACGGGTTCGAGTCCTGGATCGAATATGCCCTAGGCAACCAAGCCTTCCATCCCTCCGAAATGATACCAGACTAGTCTGGGAGAATTAAAGCACTGGCTTGTACATCTGCTGACTATCGCAAGCCATTGTATAGGCCCCACTTGTATTCAAAACGCCCATACGATTGTGAATGATGGTCGAATGCGGGGCGTATCCTTCAAACGGGATTGTTGAACGCCCAAAGACTATATCCTTACTCTTCATCCCCTATATGATATCGATTCGAAGGATGGCAGATTGGGCTGGCCGGAGTGGATTAGCCCCCTCTGGCCGTAAAATTACCAAACGGCACTCCATTTTACTGCCGTTTTTCTGTGGCCCAGAAGAGAAATGAGTCAATTTGTCAAAGATTTCTCTTCGGGAAATATCTCATTGTGGGGGTGCATCCAAAGAGCCCTACGACAGATATGAAAATGAAATTCGCCGGAATCGCCAAAGGAGACAGCTCTTCAACAGGGATACGGTGCCAGGGAACTCCCAATTAGAGCCCGAATACCTTTACCCAGTTGGTATTTCGAATACGGGTATATTGAGGTCATTGGAAGTTACTCGAACGATTGATCAATGTTGCGCAATCTCTCTCTGTGCCACAAATTGAGGACAAGGTAAGCGTTTGGGAAAACTCCCGTCGGTCCAAATGAAGTAGTCTGGAAAATGAGAAAATGAATTTCAATGAAACTCGGCTACAAAAAGGAGGAAAAAACATGATGTTCCCAAACGGGAAACCAAAAAACGTGAGAAATTATTCAGGAACGAAGTTTTTCGAAAATTGTTCATACCAATTATAGAATCAGAAATTGTGAGATGAGAAAATACATATTTTCCCCCAGAGAAAGACAAAATTAGCCCTGAACGTAATCTAATTTTCCCGAGAGGATTTCTGCCTGTGCAAAAAAGTAATTTGTTTTGAAAAATGTATGAGCCATCAATGGTAATACGGTTTCCATTTGAGTCTGATCGAAAGGAAATTTTACAAAAAAAAATTAATTTTATAGCTTACCCGAGAAGAAATCTCGCCTTGACCAGACCGGAAATGGCTAGTTTTTGAGGAAAATCGTTAGAAAACCAGTAAAACGACCAGTAAAACGAGCAGAAACGGTCAGAATCCGTTGAATGGGACCACGAAAATAGCCAGAAAAGCGTCAAGAATGGAAAAATAACGAAAAAAGCCCAGCAGAATTATCGATCAGCCGTCCACGTTGTCAGCTGATCTAGATGTTCTTCAGCAGCTCGACGTCGGCAGCAGCCCGTGCTGGCCTGCGCCTGGTGGTCGCGTTGTCCACAGCGTCGGCACACTCCGTCCACGACGACGTACTCTCGTGGGTGCGGCTCCCTGGTACCTCCCA